GTGCGATACCCAATATAATTCTACCCAGCTGTCAATATAAAAACGAACGTCGGCTACGTAGGCATTTAGAAAAATCTTCTTTACCGACGTCGATCAAGTTCCTCGACGTGCTTCCCTCCACCTTAAATCAACGGGATAAGTACAGTCCTGGTTATCCGGACGTAATGTCCGCTGTTCTCCGCGATGTTCCCGAGGCTGCTTCTCCCCCTGCATTCCTCGATACTGCGCACTATCAGCGGGCTTTAACCTTCCTATCTCCTCTCCTCTCCGCCCCTGCTGCTCCTTATGCACTTCCACGACCCAGGCTCGGATTAACCGGGGGTTAACTCCGCCGTGGCATACAAAATGTACGATATTCGTTAAATATATAGAAAATATAGGACAAATATTTTGCGCTACTAGGGTTGCTTCAGGATTACATTTACATGTTTATTTACCGTGCTTTTTATATGTACTTCTCTCCGTGGATTATTTTTTCCTTGATTTTTCTTATGCACTTTCAGACTTGGATTAACTCCGCCGAGGCATACAAAATGTACGATATTCGTTAAATATATAGAAAATATTTTGTGCTACTAGGGTTGCTTCAGGATTACATTTATATGTTTATTTACCGTGCCTTTTATGCGTACTTCTCTCCGTGGATTATTTTTTCCTTGATTTTTCTTATGCACTTTCAGACTTGGATTAACCTGGACGCGGGGGTTAATTCGGTTTCTGTCGCCCCTCGTTTTTTTAAGGCGACCTGGATTTTAAACTTCGCGCTTTGTAGATTGCTTTATTTATCGACTTACTTTTTATTTCATCGATTTCCCTATCTCTGGTCCCTTTCTTGATTTTCCCGCTTCTCGCGCATTTCCACGACCCAGGCTCGAATTAAACGGGACGCAGGGGTTAATTCGATGTCGGACCCCTCTCATTTTTCACGGCGATGTGGATCTCCACGTTTCGCGTTTTGCCCATTATTTATTCAATTCATTGATTTATTTCCAACCCTATTAACCCTCCCATTCCGTGCTCTTGTTGCTCCTTCTGTACCTCCACGAGCCAGGCTCGGATTAACCCGAGCTGGACCGGGGGTTAATTCGATATTCGATTCCTCTCATTTTTCACGGCGACACGTACCGAAATTTTCCGCATTCTTGATTATTTATTATTTACTGAAAAGCAGCGTTGAAATGGCAATGACTTTAAATACAGGCATCTTGGGATAGAAAAAGGAATAAAATCCCCTGAAGTTATCGCACCTCACTTATCTATTTTTCGATTCAATGTTTTAGTCTAGGAGATAGATATAAAAGAAGTACGCGACAATTTTCAGGCGCATCTTCTGAATGAAAAAAAAAAAATAGAAAAAAAAAAAGGATCTATCAGCGGATTTTATCCCACCTCCCATTGTTGCGGCATAATAGCCGTAACTCGAGTTCCTCGCCCCATGGGAGATTTTCTTCCAGGGCATTTCAGTTTGAGAAGTGTCTTGAGAAATTTCAACACGTGCGTCACTAGGGCGATCTGGTCCATGGGCTCTGAGATCTTGATGGATGCTGGGGGGATCTGGATGTCCCATGGTGGTCGGTGACTCAGAAATCCCCCTGACGTCTTCTCATCCCTCCGCGATAGGGAAAAGCACGGGAAAAGCACAATGGGCATGGCCCTTTCAGGAAGTACCCCAGCTCCTCCACGATTCGTTAAGCATCGGCACGGTCCTCTCGTTAAAACTCCGCATTTCATTTTTCATTGGCCCACCCTCGGAATCGACCGAGCATTTTCATTTCCGCTTTACGGTCCCATTTCATGGGTCTGGCATTACCCTCGCAATTGGCACCGATTTCGATATTGGCACTTACCGGGGGTAATTAGTAGTCCCGATAGGTTTCCATTCGTGCATACGTACCGCTTAAGTTAACAGAGGTGATAGGCTCTTAGAGGGAATAATCATTGAGCGGTACCGAGAGACCGCATTAGAAAATTATATATTTCTGTAATAGAGCCTCTTTATATGGATTTCTTTAGAACAATGGAAGTGCTTCAAAGAGATCATCGTGACGTTTAACGTAATCGCCATCGGAGCACAAAGCGTCGCTTAATAAAAATCATTTGAGGGAGTAATCGCCGAACAATAAATATTTCCTGAAAGTATATAAAAACGGCGTTATTAAGTATAAAAAAACGTTTTTGTATTATCCTTCCGGAAATGTCCCCATCCATTTTTAGATCGGAAGTTGTCCAGGATAAATTATCGGGAAATTATGGTTAATCTTACAGAATCGTTATCATTAGATATCGATGCTTTGTGAATGTGTCGGTGGCAAATGGCAGAGCCATTACGAGGAGACGAACACGTGTAAAGATGCAAGTTCGGCCGTAAAAAGTCATATCGTCCTTATCAGAGTCGGGCCGAAAGGTGTGACGAAACGATAACGTCGTTCACCGATATATCCACGGTTCAAGTAATCCGGGATTACTGTCGAACTGGAGTATCCTTATACTTTTTCCTCGGTCTTTCCTGGCATTGATATCTCCGGTTCCGCAGAATCCCCCATTTGTCATCTGAAGAGGGTCAGCTAATCTGTTTTGAGAATTGAATTTCTGGATAACCTCTAAGCCTTAAACTATGTACATATATATATATTCAAATTGCATATGCATGAATATATATATATAAAATTTCCAATCTCCACTAATTAACCCGCAGGGCGATCGCGCACGCGAAACTAATTGCATCGAGCTCCTTCGATCGATCTTTAATTCCCTAATTAATCGTAGGGCGACATCGACATTCCGGTAATTATCAAGATGGTTAATTAAATAGGGCCACTTAGGATTTCTCATGAAAAGACCAGGAGACCGGTCCGGGGATTAATTGAGAGGCGCTATCGAAATTTTAATTAATTCCCCTCCTCGGATTGGGATATCGCTCGACTTTGCTTTTTTTCGGGTTTCCTCGCGTTTGCAAACACTGGAACCGGAAACGATTCGGTAATATCGTTCCGGGAGAATGGAACCGTCAGCTGCGATGGAACCGTGCGGTAGAAACGCCATCCTCGGAATGAAATCGCGGATTAGTGATAAGTGATATGACGTAATCGGCATTGCGCGACGGCCTCGAGGAGGCCGGATGGCAACGAAATCCATTCACGGGATTGCAGGTCATCTTGGAAAATGTGTGGAAAGCCGCGGGAAATGAGGGAAATCCTGCCCTGAAAATAATCCGGGATCGAGGACCCTCGTTTAACATGAAAGTGTAACGCACGTTTCCATTACAGATATCGGATTGAAATTCGATATCAAAATCAATGTCTAAAAAAATACCCCTCCGATATCACAGAAAAATGCCTCACATTGAATTTCCTTTCATCTGACAGAGTATATTAATATACTTTTGAAAGTTTTGGCGCCCCTTTAATTGACTCTCACCTGGGAGCTCCAAAAATGAAATTCACCGAGGGCACGAGACGAAGTGAAAATATGAATTTTAAAAGGGAGACCTTCCAAAGATGTGCAAAGGGTCCGAATGAAAATTAAAGTCGAGTGAAAATCAGAGGAAAACGCGAAACTCTCGGGGAAGCCCCCGGAAGAATAATGTTTGCGGTTTTATGCGGCGAACGGGAAACGCCGTATAACCGATGTGTCCTATTTATCGTTCGCGTGCACGTTATGATTACAGTAAATTACAAGTATACCCGGTGACGCGGTCACGAGGGTTCCGGGTAACGTTTACTACGGTGCCCATTTCTCCGACGTGTCTCTCCTGCCTTTTTCTACTTTCCTTCATTCCTCCGATCCTCCCACCCGGGCATTTTCTCTCCAGTTTCCCCCTTTCGCAAAGATACCGGTAACCCAGTTTAGTTGGTCGATGCGGCGCCGACGATGCCAACGAGGAGCCCCGAGCCCCAGTTCCCCGGAAAGCTGCCAAGAGGAAGAGTCCTTCCGGTAGCTCGGGAAGGATCCGTGAAAAAAGACGCAATTGACATGCGGTAATTTAAAGAAACATACCAAAAAAAAAAAGAAAGAAATCACCATACACGCAAGTATTCAATCGAGAGTCTCTACGTTCGATCACGCAAATTCATTTTCATTCCCCCCACATTTCCAATTTCCTGGCTGATTACCTGTATATATATTTTTTATATTTTTAAATTCCCGCGGCACAATTAATAGAGGAGAATGTTCATTAATGTCGGTACCCTTAAGGACTGCGCGATGCATTCATCATCCCGAATGCACGTGGCATGCAAAGTGAGTATCGGTATCCTTAAGGGCGCTTTATCCTTCATTTTTGTCATTAGGGAGGGTACACGGAATATCCGGGATAACGAAGTACCCGGGACGCAAGGAGTCCATGGAGTCCGAAACTCTTCATCGGAGCATAAACCCACGCGGCGATAAATCCGCATCCGGGGCTCGTAGCCGCGATAAGTCACCTCGGGCCAGCTGATTTAGAGGACGAAATATCCGGCCACTGGTTCCCCTCCAATCAGTCAGTCAAACGCCAGACTGCAGGACATTCGAAATTCATAATGCAGCGATACGCCGGCACATCTCCGGGAGGTATCGATTGGCCATTCGGCTGGTCGTGGTGGAGTGACAACCGCGTCTAGAGGGCCGCAGGGACTTGGCTCGTCCGTAATTCCGCTCTTTATCGGGACGTTATCGTTCCATATCGGGTGGCGCCTCTTGCCGAGTCCTGCGACCTCCAGACCCGACTTCCCTGTACATCCCCGAGGCCGATGCAATTGCAGCCAGTGCCAATTTCCACGGGGATTGCTCCGACGCCCGAAACGCGTTGCCTAGCACCGCGGTCAGTGATACTGTCGCGGGAAAAAGAAAATATATATATACCGGATGGATTGATCGATAGCGCAGTCAGGAAGACTGTAACGATACCCGCGATCAATATAGGGCCTGATAGGAGTCACGAGCAGGGAGACAGGCTAGATCTACTCGATAAAAACAGTTCGCTCGAGGCCTCCTCGGTAAAAGGTGTCTCGGTGTTTCAGGTGGGCATGGCCCCTGTCGGATGACTTTCCGCGGCCACCGATGCAAGTCGGGAAGTCGGGTCCAAGGGGCTGCTCCACCAGACCTGCACCATGGGCTGCTGCTGCGACGGATGCAGCGACGACGCCGACTCCAAGGTCCGGCCTGTGGTAAGGCGACGTTTGTTCAATTAAATTTTCGACGGTATATATGGAGTTAACGAAACTGTTAGTAAAAGCGATAAGGTGGGCTGAAATTCCTTGGTACTTTGTGGAGGGATCTCGCGAGCTTCAATTTACGTTCGATAAGGAAGGATTTGCCAGTGCAGGCTGTATGTGTACTCGTTTCGACGACGAGGCTGATAAGATTTCAATTAATCTGGGAAGGAGAGAAGTAGATCTACAAGACTTGAGGTTGAATAAGCACAAGAGTGATAATCTCCGATTCTATCCCAGTGTTAGTGCTACAGGTCCGATACTCGTGGAAACGATGATACCGGCAAACAGTAGTCGCAATCTGTAGAATTCTACTTAGTTTGACTTATGAGTCTCCAACGCGACTTTATCGCCCACTTTTCCGCGTTAAATCAGACGTCGATTACTCCAATTCGCACCTGTAGATGGTACCGTACAAAAAGTCCCGTGAAATGACGTCATTAACAAATGAATTTACGCCGATGGTAAGCATTACCGGATGCACCGAAGTTGCCCTTTCGTTATTAATTTACTGCCAGTTTGTGCGTCATTACTTTCCTCATTATCACCGGCTAACAACTAATCTGCCGGGATTTTACCGCCCATGTAAATTGTTACTCGAAATGCTCTCGTGGATTTACACTCCACCCTGTATTTCCTACTTTAATCTTCCCAATGAACCGAACAATTGCCAAATGAATCCTCGGTTAGCCTGTATAATTTTCATTTAAAAAATGACGCCAATTACCGGGACCAAGGAAAATGAGAAGTACTTCCCCAAACGTAAGAGAGTCGGCTTTACGTCAAAGTGTCCCTCAAGCTCTTCCGTATTACTTGAGAATTCTTGACAGAGACAGGTGTACTGTCAATTCCTCTTAACATTGTCAAATGTCGTCTTTCAGACCTCGACCAGCGAAACCATCAGTTCCGATGAATCGGACCAGGTTTTCGTCAAACGAAGATCATGCACCGACTTAATAGCCCTGATTATCCTAGTGGTCGTAATTGCATTCTACGTGAGTAGCATTTTCGTACGACGATATTACAATTAATTGATAAAGACAGAAATTTAATTCTTGGCCAAAATAAGGCCTCGGAAAGTTTAAGCCATAGATCCGACCGATGTGCCGAACATAATTCTAATTTCTAAACTCTAAAAAATTACTACACTATTTTCTTAATCACAGGGTTTCCTGATTAGCACGGTCGTTAAGAAGGGAGACATCTTCAGGATAATCAATGGCTACGACGACTGTGCAAACGTCTGCGGTCGTGTCACAAAATTCGAAAACGATCCGAAGTTCTCCTGCAAAGGTGCGGACATGACGAAACTGCCGTAAGTAATCGCGGGAAAGGTATAAAAAATGAGAGATTAAAACTAGAGGTTCTAAAAAAAATTCATTATCATTTTAATTCTGCATTTCAGGTATCTCATGATGACCGCTGGGGTGAATGGTATCAAGACGAGAACCTGCGTGGCCAATTGCGACCCCAAAGTCCAGTTCGTATCCTCTTAGTTATTAACTTTCTCATAAAAAGTCTCGCGCATATCCCGGAAATGCACCCACGTCCTGAAAAGTACTCGCGAAGTCTAAATTAACGTTCCAGTATATTTATGTACATAACATAATGGCCCATATCCCGTGGTTAACTGCCCGTAAATAAAATATCTTTATGCCCGAAATTATTAACCCATTAAGGATCACGAGTCACGCGTAATGAGACTAAGAATCATTTAACGTCATTTAATTTCGCCCCTTGGTAATCAGACACGAGTTAGTTAACAACAGCACGGTACTTCCAATATACATTGTAATTATTTAATAATTAATTCCCTTTACAGTGTAATATTCCTAAACCGATGCATTCCGAGACAGGTGTCGGACAGCACGACGTCCTTAATAAAGTCGATGAACCTGCAGAATTTTTTCTACGTGAGTCCGTCACCGGTTTAAGACCGTCAAATTAATCGTAGTTCGTAGTAATCGAGGCTTGGATAACGTTTCTTTTTTTTTTTTAAAAAAAGAACTTCGTTCCCTTTTTACAGGAGGCTGCGAGTGATCTGTGCAGCGCCTGGCACGAATTGGTTTACCTCCTGCTGATCGCTCTGGGTAATCATTATCACGTGATTTTCCACTGTTATTTCCGTACCGTCATTAATTAATCACGCCGTAAAATCGGTTTCAGCTATTTCCCTGGGCATCCTAATCGCTTTTCGATACTTGGTGGCATACATTATCTACTTGGTACTTGCTGGAGCGGTGTTCAGCAGCAACGCCGGGGCCGGCTATCTTTGGTAACTTTTACAGTAAAAACAGTCAGTTAAACAATGAAATCCCGATTAGAAAAAAATTCAGTAAACACCTTAAAGGCAGTCTCCGATAAGGCGTATGAATAATAATCCTTCAAGGGTTTGAAATCACTTCAATGAAGTTTGATACGCTACCTGTCTGGTTTTCAGGTACACGTGGTATGACGAGAAAAAAGCCGTAAAAACGGGCAAGATACACGAGGAAGATGCGAGCGTGACGGATTACTTAATTTACTCGATCCTAATGACCATTCTAGCCGTGAGTAAAATCCGTATCGGATTAATGGAACTCTTCTACGTCCTCCGAGGAAATAATTACCCCCGGCGCAATTGAAGCTAACGCGGTAAACTAATTATCTCGTTACTCTCAGGTGATAACGACCCTGGTGGTACTGGTAATGCGAAAGAGAATTGCCCTGGTAATGCAACTGTTTCGAGAAGCCGGAAAGGCCGTCGCCTTTATGCCCGTAATACTTCTGCAGCCTGTATACGTAAGTACTCCACGTGGTCTCCGTACATCTACGTTATAAAATTACTTAATCATTTTTTATCAAATTCTCCCCGGCTCGGAAATTTCCAGACTTACGCCTTAGTCGGGGTTTCCCTGATTGCCTGGATTTTTTGCATGCTGTGGATCGAGAGTGCAGGTGATCTATACGTCAACAGGAAAAATCACTTCCACTACAAGAAAGATACTTATATCCTGGTTAGTACGAATCGACCTTATATCCATGTACTCGCGTCTCACTTGTACTGTTAAACGACGCCTTTTAAAATTAAACGCACCTAACAATGTCCCTCGTACGCGGGATTTTCGTTAATTACCTTAACGCGCAAAAAATGCATACTACCTAGGATTACGCTATTACTTTCTCCTAGGTGCATCGTATCATTTTCATGTCCCCTTAATTACAGGTGGCTAGATGGTACAATTTCTTTGTCTTTTACGTAATGTGCGAATTCTTCCTCGGATGTCAACACATGGTCATAGCAGGTGCAGTGTCGCGGTGGTTCTTCAAAAGGTACCGAGATGCAATTACTCTCATAATTTCCGAGCGATTCATAACTAACAAGCCGATCCTTCCAGGGATAAGAGTAGATTGTCATTTGCCGTGATAAGGAGTTTCTGTACATTAATGAGGTACCACTTGGGTACCGTGGCTTTCGGAGCAATGGTCATCGGTCTGGTGCGACTGATTAGAACAATGCTCTCCTTCATACAAAATCGGCTTAAGAAATTCGACAACCAGTTCGTAAAAGGTATCCTATGGTGCTGTCACTGTTGCCTATGGTGTTTCGAATGTGCCTTGAAATTTCTCACGAGAAATGCGTACATAGAGACCGGTGAGTACTCTCCATAGTCTCATATCAAGCCTTGGCCAAGATGGCGGACTCATACGACATACTTCCTCCACAGCAATATATGGGTGCAATTTCTGCACAGGCGGTAAAAAAGCCTTCCAGGCATTGTCGAATAATATCCTAAGAGTGGCCGCGATAAACAGCGTGGGGGATTTTGTCCTCTTCCTAGGGAAAATTCTCGTCGTCGCCCTGACAATCGTCGCCGGTGTATACTTAATGCAGGTAATTAAAGCTCATAAATTTTCCCTCCCGAGGATTGACGTGAAATACTTCATCCCGTACTTCGGCATACAAACGCGGGAAAGAAACTAAAGGAATATTAATCTCTGATTATCCCCAGAAAAAGCATGGGCTCCATCACCCGTGGGTGCCAATCGCGGTGGCGGCGTTTTTTGCATTCATCGTAGCCCATTGTTTCATCTCGATTTACGAGGTAAAGCCGTATTACACCTCGTATAATTAATGGCATATAAACAAAGCAATGTCTATCTCGTTCCAGATGGTCATAGACACGATCTTTATTTGTTTCTGCGAAGATTGTGCAAAGAACGACGGAGTGACCCGACCGTATTTCATGAGCCGTCGTCTTATGGTAAGCGACATGGTACCTAGAGTATTGAAAAAAAAATAAAAATAAAAAAAAATAAAAACGTCGGATATCTCGCGTTAACGTTATCTCCTTATATGTACAGGAATTCGTGGAGAACAGTAAAAAAGCCTTGCAGCTTTTGGAGAAGCGAGAGCGATCAGGTGGCTCGCAGTGAATTTCTGACAAGGAGACTGAAAGGGACCGGCCATTAAAAAGTACGGTCCAGATATTGGTACCTGGAACGCCCCTAATTACCGTAAAAGTACGACTGATCACTGATAAGAGTAGCGAGGCGTGATCGAATGATTTTTTAAGAGGGTCGCCAAAGGTTAGCGACAGATAGTTTAACACGTTTCCGATAACAAGCGGTTGGCAGTCTTATCATCGAGTCTCGTTAAAGTCCACACTCTATATACATAAATATATTCTTATAGGTACATGATACTCCTATTAAAAAATACTGCCCTCCCCCGTAAACTCGCGCCTATCCTCGAAACCCCCGACCTATCGATATGTAACAATTGCGAGATTATAGCAATAACTTTATTCCATTTAAATGGATCCGAGGACTGTCAAAGCGCAAGGTTATCAGTCAAACGCAGAGTAGCACCGAGTATATATATATAAATATGTATATTCATATCGTGTCATATCATGCGAACACGCGTTTCGAAGCATGTACGGGTCTCGCGTATTTTTTATACTCCTAGCTATCTTTACCATTTTTTATAGAAAAAGGAAGAAACAACCCCGAGTTGTTACGAAAATAAATCCTATCGACGAGAGAGCACTCTATCCAGTCCCTCGATTCGTCAGGTGATAGCATAAACTCATGACTTCTTTTTTCTTTTTTTTTTTCCCACACCCACCCCCTCACCTTTTCTCTCCCATAATCTCCCCGAAACCCATCTACATATTTCCACGGTAACTAAAAATCGCAGGACCGATCTCACTATCGCCAAAAACATGCGGACAGGTAATTAACCGTGAGAGCCCGCGACTGATAAGTGTCGTCTCCGTGTTATAATAAATAAATCTTGTATTACTCTATAAACTTCTGGCTCGGTTACATATACACGTAGGTTCGTACATCTCGACAGTAGGTACATATAAACATCCTTGGGCTATTGTGAAGGATATATACATATGATATACATATATGTATATATGTAAAAACGGGTGCAAAAATCCTTTTCGTATACCGAATTACGGAGAGTTCAACGCGTCGCCTTCTACGGAGGCGTCACTTATTTCCGCCTTTCATTTTCATTTTTTTTTTTCTACCGACATCGGGGACATATCGGAGAACAATTAGGGAAAATCCGTTCGTTCGACGAGAAGGGATACGTAAAAAAAGATGTATAGAGAGGGAAGAAAAAAAAAAAAAGAGAAATACAGGAGACGTTCGAGAGAACGAGGGATTCACGAGGACGCTGCGCGACCCTTTACGATATTGCTGATTCCTGACGGGATTGCTCCGAAATCCCGAACGGCATCGATGCAATTCATCTCTATCTATAATATATATTTATATATTATAATCGGCGGCTCGAAGAATTCCCCAGAGATTCGGCAGAAATCGGCGTTTTCGTATCGCGAAATTTTCCCGACCAGGACTGCCGATCGATTCCGTAAGTAGATTCGCGAATGTCCACTATTAATTACATTATACTTGTGTATATATATACGTTAATATGTATATATATATACTGCGCTGGTAATGCTCTCGATACCCGAGAGTTTAATTATCGCGGTATTAGTAGGGGCAGGGGTAATTCGATGAGCGGCATTATGCAAGTGACTGACGACGACGCCGAGTTATCAGGAGCGATAACGACGCCATAGCTACGTTATGCAATTGAAAATACGAGATGTTACTCCCTCGTTACCTAGATAATCGGTGCCTAGGAGTATTACCGACATTTCCACCGTGTGCATATACGTAAACGCGAATCGCCGAGAGGACGAGGACAAATTAAATTGTCTCCGATTATTGCGCTTCGTCCGGTACCAAAATGGCGCCCAAGAAGCTCGTCGAATGAGGTGATTCCTTCGGGAGACTGGAATTCCCGGATAGGCGGATAAAATAAGTATTCTCAAGGCATTCTCAATTGCATGGCGACCGTAGCTGGTGAGGTCGAATTGTCGAGTACATGTCTCGTTAAGCAAGATCATGAAAAAACGTCCGCGAATCCTAGAGTAAGATTCTGCCTTTCTCGGAGCACTTATTAATTTACGCTCTATAGTGTACATTTACTAATGCGCCTTACACATGTAAATACAGTCAGTTGCGTTTACACGTCCCTCCCGACGTACCGACCCTTCAATTGCCTCGTCCTTCAGCAAGTCATTACTATTTGTAATTAAATTCAATAAGACATAAGAATCAGATACCGAAGTAAGGATATAAAATCAACGTACAGAGATGTTACAATCGTATGTAAAGTCTATTTGTGAACTCGACGTGGCTTGACTTCTCTCTCCCTCTTGGGCGCTTTTAATTATAATTACCCGTGACTCGTAAGCGACATGCCGGATTAATAAATAAATATATATATAATTAATTAAGGACGAGGATTGACGAGTCGCGACTCCGAGGTAGAGACCTTTGGCTTGCCTGTTTTAAACAATGTCACAAAACATGTCGAGCTCCGGATCGGCGTCTTCGTTATAGTCTTCTGGAAGTTAAACATGCCACGTGCTCATGTTTTCCATTGTTTAATCCGCTAATTGTTTATCACGAAGCGGCCTCGCGAGTTCGGCTGCAGCGCAGGTCTAGATTCTCCGATAATGTAGATAAAAAGGAGCGATTTAACAAAATGTGCATGACCTAGGGCAACGTTACGATCCGAATGTCGAGTACATACGTTACATGGATACAACAGTGGTAATTAAAAGTTCTCATTAAGGTCTTTCTCATCGAAGCCGAGGCTTTTCCATGACCACTGGCGCACACTCCGCTACAAAGTGCTCATACATATGACGATAATTACGCGTATGCGTAATGTGACCATCGTATACACGATAAAGTCAGGATATACTACAATTACCTAAGAGGAAGCCTCGTAGTATTGGTGCAGGTCCGGGAGTATGTACCGTATCGATAAAGTGTACGTAAAGCGCGACTTGAGGCCTCGTATATTAATACAAGAGGGACCCTATATATTACACGTAAATCCGAACATATACATTCAGATGTTACTTGGCATGTATACATTACTTTTCCCATAGAGTAGAAAGTTTATCAAAGGGCTTTGAGCAATATACTTTTTCGAGGAACGGACTCGCGCTCTTTCGGTTAATCGGTCATACACGTACCGCGTATGTAAGTAAGAAAAGTCTCTAAGAAGCCACATTAATCCGGACTCGATCTTCCTGCGATATTTCCCGTGGAAGAGGGCACCGAATATCCCGGGAGACTTCGTCGACACGATCCGGAGGTTACAAGAAAAAAAAGAAAAAAAAAAAGATACGGCACCGAGACCCGAAAAGTCGATGCCAAGTCAACAATGGCGTAAAACACCTCCCCACGTGCCGTCCCACGTGGCACTTCCCCCTATTTACATTAAATTAACGATCGTCACCTACTCTTATTGCAACCGGTGATAATAAAAAGTAAAAATAATAATAATATACGATCATGATAAACTCTGCAATATTTAATACAGGTTTGTATACACGGACTAGATACACCGTTTCGCAGTGTGTTGTACGACGCAGTAGCGACTACGACGAGGAGGGTCCTTAATATAGCACGACGTGGGTAAAGTTTTGGATATTCGGATGAGGGGGACCACCGAAAAACCGTGATCGGAGAACTGGAGTGAGCCCAAAAACGGGTAGACCGTTTCCTGCGGACCTTAGATCGTGATATCTCTCTCGCCTAGAACTTTGAATGCGCGTAGGCGGATCCGTTGGAGATACCCCAGCCACCGAATAGACATATCTATTGCACTCCAGAGATAAAAGTAGTAGTTAGGACGAGACAGGGAATCGAGATCATCGTCCTTGGGTCACTCCAATTCGGCCAAGGGGCGAGGAACGATGTCCAGCCATGGAAGGGGCGCCGCAACAATTCGTCAAGATACCTCCGGAAGTACCGAGCCGAACTGCGCGGGGGCAAACTATCAACAGAGGCTGCAGCATTTGGAAGCATCTCCTAGATGCACGTGACAGACGGCCGGGAGCCCTGTGCAAGCCTTGTTGACACTGTCCTGGACAAAGTGGCCTAGTCCAAGGTTTTGATTGATGTCCCCATCGCTGCCGCGATGCTGGTGCTTGACGTCGCACCACTGACGCCTCTCCCGCCATTTGTCATCGGCACACAATAGCATGGACTTAGGTGAAGGAGGGGCGACTCGATCCCTGGCGATGTTCCCGCAGGACCTGGCCTTGTACAGCTTGCCCTTCCCGAAGAGGCCAGGCAGAGGGACGCAGAGCTTCTTGTGGACGGCGAAGTACCGCGTGAGGAGCTTCATCTTCTTGCTCTTGCACTCCGAGCGATTGACCGCACTGCGGCCATCGTCGTTCCTTGCGATTCCATTCTGTTCCTTGGAGCAGTACCCGTTCTTCCTCTTGTCGTCGTCCTTCTTGGAGTCGTTCTGGCCCCGTTTATCCCCACCCGCGTTGCCAGTGATGATCCTCTCCGAGATGGCGGTGGACTTACCTAGGGTCCAGCTCTGCAGCAGCCTGGCACCGAATCCCTTGGCCTTCTGCACCGTGGCGGAGGTGTGGGACACCGGCGACGACGTCGACTGGGACAGAGCGTTGTCGTTGGCCCCTTGTTGCGACTGGCTGACCACCGGTACCGGGCGAGAAATCGACGAGAGGGTGCTCGGTTGCTCGGAATGCTGGCTCTGAGATTGCACGTGGCAGGGTGCCTCGGCCTCCTGCACCTCGGTGATGCGGTTCAACGATTGGCTTTCCCTGAGCCGGGTCTCGCCAGCCCTTCTTCGTCCGGCTCGATGTCGCCTGCCGTAGGAAACCGACTGATTATCGGTGCACCTGTGAGTGCCACCGGTGGTTGTGGTCGTGGTGGTGGTGGTGGTGGTCGTGGTGCCCCCGTTGTTACCGCCCCCTGTCCCGGTCTCCCCTGCATCGGTCGACGCAGTCCCCCTGGCGTATTCCCCGTTCCCAGCCCTTCCGCTACCACCACCACCTCCGCTACCTCCAGGATCCTGCGAGTCGCTGGAGTCGTCGTGACTGTCCCGACGAGCTGGCAGTGGCTTCCCGGGTCCCCCCAATTTGTGAGCCCTCTTCTTCCTCCCCTCGCTGTCGTCGTCGCTCGCGTCCGAGCTGGAGCACGAGGTGGTCCTCGTTTTGTGGAACTTGCTGCGCCTCTGTTCGTACCCCATACGTCGGACCACCCTGCACTTTGCCGCACTTTCAGGGGTACTCCTCTCGGACGCGTCCCCGTCCTCCAGGATCTCGTTCAGAGTTATCTGCGGAGGGGACGTGGCGCTCGTCGGGGAGGGCATCGTCTTGTACCTGGGCAGAGCCATTTGGTTCTCTCCGATGGTGTTGTTAGACCTAAGTGGTATCGAAACGGTCGAGGACTCGGTCAGGATGATGGTCGTAGGTGTAGGCTTGCTAGCGACCGTCTTGGAAGCCGCGACCTCTGACGGAGGTGGGATCGACGTTTGGTGCTTAGCACCCATCCGCCACTTGTTCGAGGGTAGCGGTCCGGTTTTCATGCACTCCGTCACAGACTTCGGCCTCGACTCCAGGTTGCCGCCGACTTTCTTCGTCCAGGCGCTTTGTTTTAGCCCTAGACCTGCTGATCCCAGTCTGTTCTTTACGTTCTCGTCACACGGACTGACTCTGACCATCCCCAAGACCTTGTCGATGCCCACTAGGTCTTGAGGCTTGCCCACTGCCGTGAGACCGGACGACTCTTCTTTGCTCTTCGGAGAGGAGTATGCCTTCGATACGTCGTCGCGAGCTGGTGAGACCGTCGTGACTATGTTCAGAGGAGTGGTACGAGGATGCCCGTGGTGGACCGGCGTCTTGTGGGCGGTGAGCTTCTCCGGGAGCTGAGAAAGCCTCTCCTGGAGGACGTGGGAAAGTTTCCCCTCCGACCGCGAACCTCGACGGTTAAACGAACTCAAGGCGGAATTGCTGCTACGCTCGTCCCTTCCCGAGCAAGAGGACATGTCGTCCTCGTCCTCCTCCTCCTGGACGATGCTGCACTTGCGCGATCGAACGTTCTGCCGAGAAATCACGCAACGATCCATTACCATAAATATGCAAAAAAAAAATATCTAACAAACCAAGTGTCCGCTACTTTACCTGCGGTACATCTCCAGGTGTTCTTGGGACTCCCAGGAGAGACTGGTTGACGGTGTTCAGGGTATTCTGGTCTCCACATATACCAGTAGTCGCGTGGTCGTTCTGATGACTGGAAGTACATATAGGAATTTAGTATGAATGCTCTTAAACGATATTGTTAATACCAAGCTGTATGTATAATTCACCTGGGAGGAACCTCGAGTAACTCGGGCCGATTCGTTTGCATGAGTTCTTGCCGCTGTGCTCGTAGTTTTCTCTCGGCCAGCAGGAAGTACGTCGCAGTTACGTGGTTGTACTCGTTTTTATCGAGAGCACTGTACATAGGGCAGAACCGAGGCGGTTAGGATTAAAGACTAGAGGTCGCGGGCCGATTTCCCAACTCACTCGAGGATCTCCTCCTTCGTGGCGATGTTCCCGTTGACCATCTTGGTGATGATCAGGTTGTGGTGGTCGTCGGATACCTGTTGACGGGAGACCAGAGGCAGAGCTTCCACGGGATCGGAGTCGGACCCCATGGCCAACCAAGGATCCGAAGCTATCTCCTCGAGGGTCGCTCTACCTTCGGGCTCCCTAACCAGCATTCGGGCGATAAGTCGTTTGCACCCATCCGAGACATGAGCCGGTATCGAATACTTGCAGTCCATGATCATGGTCAGGGTCTCGCTATCGTTGGCCTCCTGGAACGGTGCTTGCCCACACACCAGCATGTAGAGAATCACGCCCAACGACCAGACATCTGGAAAAGAAATTCATACAGTGCTCTGCTGCGGCTCTGAAGACCCTAGACTACGAAATGGCACTATTCCGTTAAAATTAAACCTCTATATTTCATCTCTAAACCTATTTTTTTTTTTTTTAAGGCGACGTGGAAACGACACCAAAGAGGGAAACCGTGAAACGTTTCAGCAAACTCGATATACCGAATCGTCTGAAATCTCCCCATATAAATATGGATGCCCTTAATGAAGGCCTCGACATCCATGGAATTACATTTTTTATAACAGTGTTTAGGAACTAATGAGAAAAAATTGAAATTTCATGGGACCTTTCTTACGACTTCTGTGTTCATCTGGTATAGTTTGGAGAAATGTTTCACGAACGAGACTTTCCACGTCACCCTAATTTACACGTACCGACAGCTGGAGCATCGTAGCTGTCACCAAGGAGGATTTCCGGTGCCGAATATGCCAACGAGCCGCAGGAGGTTTCCAGTTTCTGACCGGGACAGAATTTATTGCTGAACCCGAAATCCGTGAGCTTGACGGTGCCGATCTTCTCGAAGAAGACGACATTCTCAGGTTTCAAGTCCCTGTGCACCACGTGCAGCCGATGGCAGTACGATATGGCTCGTACTATCTGTCGGAAGTACGTCCTGGCCACCTGAGAAAATTAATGTCAAAAAGTGAATCATTAATCATAACCGATTATCGAGACACTTTTGACGATTGGTGACGGACGACACATTGACAGGAAATTGACATTGCCACGTGTCTCTCCGGAGTCGCCCACAAGTCATCTCCCATAATTGCCAAGAATTTAGAAAAATCTCGTACAAAGTTTACCGAATTCCCCTCAACCTCGATTAATTGAATGACAAGTCATGAAGTCTCATCAAGTACACTTCGATCCTGCCGACCCTCGGAGTCGTAAGAACGGATTCCTCGAACAACCGGGGTCAGTTGAATCAACACACTTAAACGAAACGACCAAGTGGCAGACGTGCAATTGAATCGGTTGTACCCCATTACAAATTTAACCGGACGATCTCAACAATAGCACGTCATACTCCCAATGATAATCTACATTTAATCGGCATTTACCGATCGCCGCCAATATCCCCGAAGACGTCCATCAACGTACCGACACTCCGAGTGTCGTGCTACGTATCGTCAAACGGGCGCGATTGAAAACGGCGAAAGAGGGAAAAAAAAAAAAAATCGAAGAAGCAAGGACGTTTAGATAAGCACCTCCTCACTGAGCCCGCTATCATGTCGCATGATGTAATCATAGAGATCCCCTCCATCGCCGAGCTCCAGGATCAAGTACAGCTTCGTCTGCGTGTCTATCACCTCATAGAGACGCACCACGTTCGGATGCTGCACCAGCTTCATGCACCTCACCTGGAATAAAAAAATCATCAATCACTATTAATCGACATTAAAAAAAAAAAAGAAAAAAGGAGGAGGCTCCCAAAAGAAACGCCAATCTTTCTTAGGTACAAAGTACCTATCTACCTGCTATTACATATTTTTAATTACCCATTACTCTGGCAGTCTGAATTTGGCGAAAAAAAAAAAAAGAAAAAGAAACGAAAGTCAATATTAAAAATTAATATAAGAAAAGTTAATATTAGAAATTAATATAAGAAAAGTTAATGTTAGAAATTAATATAGGAAAAGTTAATATTAGAAATTAATATAAAAACAAAAATTTCTCGTTTGAGACATGGGCGACGAAGCATTACGGAGGATCCTCTCTTACCTCCTGGAAGAGATGAGCTCGAGAGACCTCGTCGAGCTTGCTCTTATCGATCACCTTAACAGCGACCTTTTCCCCGGTGAAGACGTGGCGAGCTAGCTTCACCACGGCGAAGTGTCCACGTCCTAAGGTCTCCTCGAGATCGTAGAGACCGGCAATTTTGCCGTCATAATTGCTGTGACCCACCCTCCGTTGCATGACGTCACTGGGGAACATGAAAACATTAATACGTATACGAGAAGAATTGCGATATATATATATACGAGACATATCGCGATATGACGGCGCGTCATTCATTGAAGATTAAGGAAGCGTGAGCAGACCATACTCTATATAAGGTTATCAATTCCGCATGCACAGTATTATACATTATGTATACCTATAATGCATTACCGATATCCCGCCAGCACGTGTACGGCATTAATATAAGAAAAGAAATTGTCCGAACAATAAGAAAAAAATTCAACAGTATATTCTAGGTGAACCAAAGTCGTCACATTACATGTATAATTGTTATGACGAATGGGCTTTAATTTTTAACCGTCGGTTAATAATTTTAAACGCCGTAAATTACTACGTGGAAAAATCGTGGTAAATTTCACAGACGAGGAATTACGTGGTTTAATTATAAATAATAATTATCGGTGGGGCAGACGTTGTTACCATTCGGCGCAACAATGCCGTGTTTTCTCACGTTAACTTATGCATCAAGATCGTCCATTCATCCTGTATATCTGTTATTTTGTAACGAGTCATTACGCCCTCCCGGGCCTTTGCAAGGTAGCTCTCGACAATACCGTTAATGAATAAACGCGCGGATGCAAATCCAGTACAGGAAATGCGATAGCGAATGTTGGTCCCACGTTTACATTCTGTCAAGCCCACGTTAACGTTTAATCGAATTGAAAATAACTCAGGCGTACTCTGTTGTATATTAAATCCCCAAACGACGAGGCGGGTACACGGAGACATACCGCGGGGTAATTGTTCGCAATTAAATCAGAAGGCAACTACTCGGCTCTACTCTTTCTCCGAATCTCCATATCCTACGAGAATCCACTCTCGAATTAGATCCCCCGAGGTTTCGATATTCTTCAATTTGCGGCACAAAGGCGAGCCGTTTTTCCCGTGACCCGCAACCCTTTGATGCATCCGACTGACCCGAATATCTATTTAAAGGGAATTGCGGGAAATTTCACCCTCCTTGAAACTCGAAACATGGTGCCGACAAAGCGGAAAAAAAAAAATGACAAGATCATTAACAAAAAAAAAAAGGTACACTCTCCGCAGTATTTCCCATAACCACGGAGGGAACGCGATTAGCCCCACACAAATTGGCTTAATTAAAATCGACGCATCTTAAATCTCTAATCAGTAGGATTATCTCGTCACATGATAAGCTACCGAAGTACGCGACGCAATGATTCCTCTCTGTAAAGACATGGAGTTGAAGGAAAATTATTGTAGCAATAATCTGAATCGGGAATATCCCTCACGGGGAATGCTCGTTAATGCTCATTTCGTGCAAAAAAAAACTAGAGTCTAATGTCTCTTTTCCTTTTTTTATATTAAAATAAAGCTTTTTATAGGGATCTAGAGGTGGCGTTTGGCCGGCGGGTTGATTTTAATGTAATCCTAAATTATGGAGACATGTCGGCTCGGTACCAAGTGTCAGCCCAGAGAGCTGGTGGAACTATGCGTGTGGTCGATAGTGGTTTCGCATTCGCGTGGTGTCTCTCTAGAACCTCAAGACTAGTTTTAAGGGTAAGGGTAAGAATAGACCGGGACAGTCGTCTCGACGTAAGATCTGTCTGGCGAACTTTCCTCCTCCGAATTCGCCCCGGCGCCTTCTAGGTCGTCACCGACATTACCCAGACATGTACAATAATGAAGGATATTCCAATCTAACGAAAGCACCATTCGACTTGCATAAAAAAAAAAAAAAAATACTAAACCGTACAAAGAGTGGCATTAAATGTATGCCGACCAGGACTCCCTACATCTAAGTGAAAGCACTAAAAAAAAGAATAAAATTAAGTCCGAACTTCCCCGGGAAAAAGTTCAAGACATCAGAGGGAGAAAGAGAAGAATAAAAAGTAGGGAAAATTGAGTTGCCACAAAAAGTGGAGGGGAAAAGAAAAGAAAAAAAAATTAGAAACGAAGCTTTGACTCCGAGGCGTCACTACAGTGGCTTCCCCGTGATTATAGTTTTTTTTTTATTCATTTATTTTTTAACGAAGCATCGACATAGCGCCTCCACCGCGCATTTGAAGGTGTACGAATGGTAGGGAATTTTCTTCTTTATTATTAAAATGAGAATTGACGATTCGAGCATGTCGCCATAGAGTGCCCACCGACAAGAGTTACCATAGGCTCACCTTGAACCTGTTAGTACCATTAGTACCATGCCAAGCTCTAATTTGCACCTTATCGCGAGACGTCTTTGTCCCGTCCTTACACATGCGATGTACATAAACGTAAATTTTTTCCCTCCCACCAAAAGGGAGGCAGAAAATCGCGTCAAAGTATAAATCCGGATAGTCCGAAGGCCTCGTCCCTTTGACACCTGTCGGGGTTACTTTGCATCTGAAATATCGACACCGTTTTTCCCGAACTAGGTCTCGCCCCCTCGCATTATTCCCCAGGGCCGAGACTCAAAAGGGATTCAAGAAGGATTCTAAAGGAGCGACATTGGCCCCACTAGCCATGGCGAGGTATAAGGCATAAAGGTAAAGGATTAAAAGTGGACAGGCCGGAACAAGGCGATAATGGCCGCGCGGACTAACTTCCAGGTGGACCAGAGGGTGGAAGAGGTCGGTGAAGATAATGGAGACGGCAAGTAACGAGGTTACGTGTACTCGAAGGCACCAACCGGGTCGAGAAGTGCGATACAACCGAAAACACCAGGCTCTACCAATGAGTACCCGGGTACAGAGGGGACTGGAGGAAGTGGAGCAACGAAATCGCCAGCTTCGAGTTTAGCCCACGTCCGAACAGTTCCAATATCACTCGATATTAGTTCGAGGATACCATTCGAACTGCAAAACGGACGTCGATGATTATTCCCACAAGTCGAACAATGAGACATTCCACCGAGAGGGGCTAAAATAACTGGAGCAGGGAAATGGCTCCAATATTTGCAGACATTTTTCCAATATACTATTTTTCAAAAATATTATAATAATACTTATAGCATTTTTCGCGGATATAAATGGAGTTTAGATTTTATTTCTACCGGTCTAACGGCGAACAATTGCAACGAGAGGTACTTAAATAAATGGAGCATCGTAATCGCCAGCTCCGAATTTAATCCCACGTTCGAGCAATGTTAATATTATCCGATATATCTTTAAATATTAATTAAATTTCGGATATAATCGGAGTTTAGATTTTATTTCTACGGGTCTAACGGCGAACAATTGCAACGAGAGGTACTTAAATAAATGGAGCATCGTAATCGCCAGCTCCGAATTTAACCCCACGTTCGAGCAATGTTAATATTATCCGATATATCTTTAAATATTAATTAAATTTCGGATATAATCGGAGTTTAGATTTTATTTCTACGGGTCTAACGGCGAACAATTGCAACGAGAGGTACTTAAATAAATGGAGCATCGTAATCGCCAGCTCCGAATTTAACCCCACGTTCGAGCAATGGTAATATTATCCGATATACTTTTAAATATTTCCCTCTAATTATAGTCAGTCGATACGTAAAATTGAGGCTCACTTCTATTTTTGAGAATTATTCCGCTACCGAGTAGCCATTACATCGAGAGGGACCAGAGGAAGTGGATCAGCGTAGAAATGACCCGTTTCAAATTTAGCTCGCGTTCGATTGATCCCAATAATTCCCGATATTGGCAATACTTCCCGGTATCTTCAAACCTGCCCCAATATTTGAACTCAGTCAGGGATATAATCGGTACTCGGTTTTATTTATCCACCTAGTCGGATGTAAGCTCGACTTACCATCCCGGAAGCCGGGGAAGTGATGTAAATCCGATCGCGAAGGAGATAGTCGACGAGGATTGCGAAGTGCCTTAAAAGCAAACTGGATAAGCCCGACAAGTCCTTGAGCAAAATCCAAGGAACCGGCAAAAGAGGGAAATGGCCCAGACACGTAAAGAATCTTTAGGAAGGATTTTAATAGCTTCGGTTTGCTGTAAAGAACCCTTTTAAAATTAAAAAAAAAAATAAAAATTAAAAACAGGACGAGTCTCGATGCTCATTAAGGATTCCAGAGGCGGCTGAACTTTTAGGAAAAGCAGTTTCGCTCCTGGGAAATTGGGATAATGGCCGCCGATTGGGCTCGATATTTGCCGCATCTCGTCCTGACATCATATCCTGGGTACGGAAAGAACCCTTTTAAAAATAAAAAATAAAACAAATAAAAATAAAAAACAGTAACAGGACCAACAAAGAGGGTCGTCGAGGTTTCGATAATCGGAGGTAAATCGATTGAAAAGGAAAAAAGAAAGAAAGAAAAAGGAAGAAGAAGTCCCGGAGAAAAAAGATAGGTCAAAGGGGCTTCACGGGTCGTGGGTCGAGCTCACAAAGAAACGACATCTACATATCGCTATTCCAGAAACTGTACATATGTATATCATATCATATCATATCATATCATATATAATATCATATCATATATATATATGCAGCTTCCAGATCCGCGCCTGCGCGAAACGAGATGGATCGAGTGACGAGCAGCATCCGTCGTGTTTTCGTCCCCGATAGATCCGCGCAGATCGAGAATCGATTTCCAAAGGTAAACAGATCGATTGATACGTCGTATCAGGTCCTGCCACCGAGGTGCTCGGGCATTTCTTTACGATGTCAATTTTACAAGGCTAAAGCGTACTCATCCTCCCAATCACGGCGCAATCTGGATTTATCAATCGATCCGAATCTAATCACGAATCAATAAATCTAGCTTCATGATCCCTAAAGAATCATAAACAATTATTTAAAAAAGAATTTATCTAATTACCCGATTTCTTAAATCACGGACCAGGGATAAAGGGGTTGGTTACTTTCCGTTTTTTAATTTTTGTTAATTTTTTATATTAGACAGATAAGAAGACATCCCACTCGCAGAACCGAAACCCATGATTCGTTAACCCGTCGGTCATGAAGGGGTTAATTATACCAGAAGCACGAGTGCCGCGGTAAATTCCGTTTAATCAACTCCAAGCCGGAGGAATTATCCGTGAAATTTCCCGACCAAAGAAGAAGTCTTATCCTAGGTCCCGAGATAAAGGAAAAATCTGCTCTCTCTCGAAAAAAAAAAGTCTATTCCTTTCGGACAGGAATGAAAAAATGGAATTTTTTTTCGTCGAAAAATAAAAAACAGGTGACAATTATCATGAATTTTAACAATTTTCAATCAGCGTACGCATTTCGAGCCTAGAGGAGGAAGTGCGAGGGTACCTTCACAGGTGAGTGAATAAGGGGCTTTCACACGAGGCGCGTGAAAAGTGGCTCCTTCCGGAGGACCAGACCGGGTATGTACAGCGGGAGAGAATCAATAGCGAAGGAGCCCGACGACACCGTCGGAGTAAATCGGGGGAAGAGAAGTGGCACTAGGTAAACCGAGTACATACTTGGACGGTACCCCAGGATGTGGTCGGGGTAGCGAGGTGCACCAAGTGCACCTTCTCTTCCGAAGATTGATAACAGTTACGCAAGGCATGATTAGATACCACCGGGCGAGTGCATCGTGGAAAAGGGGGGAAAGACCTCCACCATCATGTAGGAACCGGGTAAAGCCGGACGAGGGGGGTAAATCGATGGAAGAGGGGTGCTGGGACATAAATCAGGTGTACAGGACCTGCCAGGGTGTATCCAAAGACGCAATGCTGAGCCAAAAGTAGTAGAAAAAAAAAAAAAAAAAAATGTCACGCACCGAACAAAACGGTTCGATTACCTGCACTTGGCGCTTATCAGAAAAGAAACTAATCTTTGGCACCCTTGATAGAACAATTACTCGAATCGGTCCAACATTTACGGTTTAATAATAAAATATGAGAAGCACAATCCCAAGAAAATACAAACTTGCCACGGCAGAAATTTATCGATTAATAAATATAATACCAATTATGTGCACCTAACCAAGATATTTAATTAAAAAATAAATCTATGCCGAAATTTATGAAACAATTGATCCAAACATTTTAGCTTAGGTTACCTCGACTGGATTTACTGAAATCAATCGAAAGGCGGTAGATCGAGCGACATTGTCTCGGGAAAAGATTTTTTACGTGTACGGTGGCGGTACATAAGATCCCTTTTAGGGAGCGGCGCCTCCTCCCCGGGAGGTAATACGTGACACTCCTTTTCCTCTGTGCGATACAGGCCGAAAACTCGAGCCGGGAGGACTGGGCCTCCACCTTGCTCCACAGGAGTAAATAATCGATAGAAGGAAGCGAAGCGACAGGAGAGGAGCCAAAAACCCCGTTCCCATCCTGGGAAGATAGGATCCCCCGAATCCGCACTTTCTGGTCTTTCGATGCCGTCATTTCCGGATGATCTCCCGTAGAAACAACGCGGGATCGTTCATCAGGCTAGTAGCTTTAAAGAGGGGAATCGCTTCGCAGGGGGTCCGTGAAAAGTGTGCACGCGACACGAGGGCTGATCGATGGGAATAGTAGCTCGGACAAACCGTCCACGATGTACCGACTCCATATTAGCGACCCGAGGTTACGTCCTAGGAGGAATTTACGATCGACCGATAAACGCGTCGGCATCTCGAGGAACCCGTCCAGACCCCGAAGATGCTCCCCGAGGTTACCAGTTCGCGTTCCAGGACGTTTACATTTCGTATACATTTTTTTTTTCTCGCATAACGAATTAGACTCCCAGGAAAGAAATTTCGCACTGTTGCGAAGTCGCGTATTTGGACAACGATTGAAAGTCGTACATGAAATTATGAATTTCGCATGCGAAGGTTGAATGTATGAACTCAATAGGTACCGATTATAGGTACCTGTTCTCGAATTAAATCGGTTCCTTTCAAATGGGTTTGCATGAAAGAAATTTCGCACTGTTGCGAAGTCGCGTATTTGGACAACGATTGAAAGTCGTACATGAAATTATGAATTTCGCATGCGAAGGTTGATTGTATGAACTCAATAGGTACCGATTACAGGTACCTGTTCTCGAATTAAATCGGATCCTTTCGAATGGCTTCGCATGAAAGAAATTTCGCACAGTTGCGAAGTCGCGTATTTGATTAAAGAGTCGTACACGAAATAGTGAATTCCGCCTGGGAAAATTGTTCGTATGCGTCTCAAAGGCCGATAAACCATCCAGCATCCTGATCCTCTCCTCCGGAGAGGTCGAATTTCGCCACGCCTAGAACGACGCCTACGCGACGTCCTCTCGGACCTCTGACAAATCGGCGAATCGACCCACGACCTTCTTTACAAAATATCCTGGACCTCCGAGAAGACTTCTACACCTCCCAAAGAAAAAGGGGTCACTGACATAGCCTCCCTAAAAAACAAATTAGCCCACGAGAACGACGCTAACGTCGCTCCTCCCTCTTAGCAATTCTCGACTTCGCCATTACTGGTCTACCTTTATGTCACGCCATTCAGCCGTTCACGAGGGAGCCGAGGTTAGTGACATGAATAAAATAATAGGTTCAATTCTAACCAAGATGCGTTGGGAGGAATCTCCAAAGATCTGGATCGATCGATTCCTCAGACCAGGAGGATCCACGAATAGGCTTAGAAAAATTTTTCTAGATCGTACCTAGTACCAATGACGTACATGGAAGGGATTGATTAATCCTATCGGAAGGATTTTATTTTTTTTTTCATTAGCATACACCACGTGTCTTAAGATAAATCCCTCGAGATCTGACACACCCCTTACGAGTAACCGATCGATCCTTGAATTATTTCCCAGGTCTAGGATTTTATGCGTCGTAAAAACGCGGTTACGTTGACGAGATACCTAGACATTTTCCAGGGAGCTTCCGATGAAGAGTGCTCGAGAAGAATGTAAGGAAGGAATGCGTACTTCTGATGTAACCAGGGCATTACCTGCCCCCGTCTTATGGACTCGCCGAGGTTATGGTACCCTGTGTACTTTCGCATAATCCTCTCCGGGGCCAATTATCCCCGGTTAAGAGTCTCATTGATTTTTCGCCTTAACGATCATTCGAGGGGAAATACTTTTACTATATAATTTTATATATATATTATGTATATAATAAAATAAAGAAATACTAACATCAACGGTAGGAAATGTTTTCGCATTTATAGCGACATCAATCCAGGAGAGATCTTTTTTAATATCAACGTTAGGAAGTATTTTCGCATTTATCGCGATATCAATCCTGGAGAGATCATAAAGACCAATTGAAACAATAAATAATAAAAATAAATCTCTTCGTAAATCGATATCGGAGCATTAATTTCTCTGCATAAAAAAGATAAAACCAAGAATACGGCACGTCGATTTTAATTCAAATTCGAAGCCCTCGCACGTAGAATTTCGAGTCGACTCGACGAAGAAAGAAGCAATGTATCCGCAAGCCTACATTGACCATTGGAATACCTCGAGGAAATACCAACCGAAGCACTAAATAAAAATAAACACCTCTCCATATACCGACATCGTAGTATTAATTCCTCAGTATAAAGAAAATAAACCCAAAAATCCGACCCGTCGACTATAACCAATTTCGGTCCTCCACATACAGCGATTCCCGTCGACGAGTCGATTTCCTCGAGATACGCGTAGATTCCGGGCATCCCCAGGAGCGACTACGGTCTACCTCGTTAAATACCTGACTACGTCTTACGTTTCTCCTAGGCTGCCGTCGAGTCGAGGCCGAGTTTTCCCCCGCAGCGTGGCGCCGTCATTTGTGGGATGCGGACATGGTCTAGGGTTTCCAATCCGTGGTAAAGGGTCGCCTCCTGCGGGATCAGCTCGAAGCGCGACTGGTCCTAACCTGTCTTTGGGCCCGGTCGCGTGCGCGTCGATCGGCTCGCGCGACCTCTCGTGCGTGCGCGCGCACGATCTGTTTACACGCCGCGGCGTCGGTCTCCCTGCCGAGTGGACGTTCGCGACTCCCCACTTAGCGCGCACCCTCTCGCGTATCCTCTGGGCGTCTCTCTCGGAGTGGCGCGCGCGCGCACAGCTCGGCCTCCTTCGCGCGTCCGGTCGGCTCTCTCTCGCGCCCACGCGCCGCCGCCGCGCTCTCTCCTCCTCTCCGGCTGGCGCACTCGACGCGGCGACCCCTTCGATCGGGCAGGAACGGCACGGTCCCCTCTGACCCAGGCCGAGTCCCGACAGCTCCCGTTCCGCACTCCCGGCGATACCGCGATCGACTCGCCCTCCCGGTTCTCGGCGCGGTCGCGAATCTACTCCGTCGATTAGATAAGACACCACCTCGGAGGCCGACGAGAGACTCGGGACGGTGACACGGGAAACCTCGGAGGATACCGAGTCTTCCAGAGGAGAAACTTCACGCCGACCGACGACGCTGTGCCGCCGCCATCTTGCGGACTCGAGGGACAGGCGATGCGCGCGCGCCCGGCGATTCTGGCGGACGGCGGGGGAAGCTCGTCTACGCTGTCGGTGCGCGCGGCGGGATGCAGGGCGCGGCTGTCGGTAAGAATGATCGCTGCGTTTTGGGATTTGGGGTAGATTGATGAGGGGGGGTCAGGGGACGTAGATGTGATCGTACCGACTTCGGTCATGGGAAGAATCTGTTTAGACGGGATCTACGGCGGATAGAATTCCTCAGTTGGGGGATGTTCGTTAAATATTTAATATATCTGGTGTCTGTATATATGATTGGGGATGAGTATCCTGGAATTAACTTGTAATCCTGAGGATATACTCAAGGGGCATATCTGGATAGAGTTCAACGCGTTTCCGACAGATGGCGGTAGTGCTCTGTTCTGGTCGGCTTGACTTCGGATTTTCCTTAATAAATGTATGAAATAATCGTTTTTATTATAATTCAAGCACAAAGGCCTTGATATTTAAGTTTTTTTAAATTAAGGGTTCGGTAGTATTAATAATATGAAACTTAAGTCCTAGGTATATCGAGTATCGCCATTATTTATATGGGTTAGACCACTAAAAATTAATCTCAGCTTTATGAGAACTAGAGTTTGTTAAAAGATATTGCAGAACTTCTGGAATTGTTTTCATCTTAAGTCTTGATTACGCATTGACCGCGTATGTACTAGGTTTTTACTACATGCTTAGGATGAAACATACTTTTATAACAACGCGACGAGACCCGAGGGGCACCAAGGAGATTAAACTCGGTCCCGTGAATGCGTCCATTCTTATCACCAGTCGACCTGCACGGAGTGAATACGTATGCCTATGCAACTTGCACGGTGACTCCCACCACTCGGACGTTTCCTTAAATAACGTAGAAACCCCGCCGTGACCTAATAAACCTCTACATCCCAGGATTTTGATCTAAGAAACTGCCCAGCCAACGAGTCCCCTTACCTCGAAGCACGCCACCGAATAATGAAATCTCTCGTAAACGGTTAATGCAACAGCCAATAAATACATCAGAAGAATCGTTATTCTATTAATAGCCCTCTTTTCCCCCTCCCGAGTCCCTCTCTCCCCTCGAAGATCTATTTCCTAGCGCTGAACTATGGAGAAAAGAGAAGCACCAAGTCCGAACCCGGTGAACTTCCAATTTTCTCGGACCAGGTAGATAGAATACCCCCTAATATCCATGAATTCCCTTAAAAAGCCTACCCAGGAGTTAGGTTCACCTCCACGCTTCCCTGTTCTTCCATTTGCAGCCGGTTTGTCCGCGTGTAATCGATTTTACGAGGGAGCAAAGTCTCGAGGTGAGACTTCTGCCGGCGGCCATTACGGTTTCGCGTTTCCCCGGGGAGCGGCGCGGCTGGAGGCGCTAAATGGAGAAGTATCTCGCCATAACCCTATCGAACGATCATTTCTGTCGGCGAGCGGTCACTAACCGTGTCCTGGTGTCGTCGGTTGGGACCCACGCTTTTACCCGGGGCGTTTTACCCGCGTCCATCTCACGCGGGTTGGGCCATCGGCGACGTCGAGGAGGCTCCGCGGCCAAGCCGGCTCGGCGCCAAAATCAGCTCAGTCGCTTTCCGGTCGGGGTTTTATAAATACTGCAGACTGTCGCGAGTGCACCGAACACCACCAGTCGTTTGGGGAATCCACTATCCACTAGCCGAGTTTCCGAGGACAGGTGCAAGGCGCACTACGTGCAGGGAAACTGGGTCCTGGGCGGAGTCCGGTGTCGGGTGTCGCGTGCTGGAGGATATTAAGGACGTGCTTTCGCGAGATAGGAGATAGAGTGGACGGAAGGATGTAGTCGAGGATAAGGTGGAGGACGAGGGCTTAGAAGATGACGCCTTAAGTGCCAAGCTGCACGAGAGGACGCGACCGACAAGTAAGGAATCCTTCCGAGAGATCCTTGCTCCTCCTGAAGCGACCGGAAGTGAGTCCTTGCTGGCCGTATAGGGCAACGGATGTGCATCCAGGTTGATGTCGAAGGCACCAGGGATGTTACCCAGCTCGATGTGGCCATGGTCCGACACAAAAGCACGTGGTCAATTTCCTCGGTGTGACGTCTTTGCGGCCTTAAGGGGGCATTGAAGTGGCATCGGATAGTTCATGACACTTTTCTCTGGACTGAGGCTACCGAATCGGTTGAAACTTTACAAGGTGAACCTAGAGGCTATGAGGAAGGTTCCTACCCCCGTGAAATTTCATTTTTTATTGGAAATTTGGAAAATACCTCTAGAGAAACTTTTGGACTGTCCAAATTTCTTGGGGGTTGGGAGCTTCCTTATGGCTTCTGGGATCGCGTTCTAAACTTTGAAACGTCGATCGGTTCAGGGAAATGCTTTGTAAACGGGACCTCCGCGTAGCCACTTTAACGCCACCTTAAATCTACGGCTATTCCGGAAGCGGAGCGATTAAGGTCGTTAGGGAGTCTTCTTTTTTCCGGAGATTTTATGCCGAACATCGGGGAATCCGGGGCAAGTGTCTAGGAATTGTTTGCTCTATAAACTCGGGAGATGGGAGATCTAAAAGTAGCTTCCTTGGGAATTATTACTTACGGTGGGTTTGGACCTCCACCGGATGGTCATGCCGGGTTTTTCATGCCGTTGGGAATCGTTAATACCGGTGACTAGGTAATGGCGATCCTTTAAATCGATCGACATGCTTAATCGAGCGACTCTCGCGACTGTCGGAGCAAAGTGAAATGCCGTCTTGGCATATGAAAGCGCCTCTATTGCGCAAGGTCCTTTTTCCTAGGTCCTTGCCTACCGAAATACATTTCGATCTATAATCGACATTGATTAGTCGCCACCTACGATTCCAGGTCATTAACGAGCTGGTCTCGCCACGTGTTTGCCACGTGTAAATCCCTCTCAAGTGGTAGAATCCACTCAGTCGATTACACTCCATATCGTCCTGTAGACTCTATCTACAGTGCTCTCATTAGTGACAACCTGTAAGCACTATGTCCAATTAACGCCTCGGCTGGGAACACCGGCATTACGCCAAATACATTTATATTTACTTCATTAACGCCACCGGTGTCGATACGTCGATGCAAACCTCGGAAATATATCACATATACGTTTGCATTTCCATATGACAATGTTACACGCAACGCTCTTATGACACGGTTAATTCCTTCCATGTTCTCAAAAAAATGTGCTATATCGGAAATGTGATAAGCGAAACCTAGAATCGTGCATTTCATGCTAAACGGTGTGATGGAAAAATTCCTGATGTGTAAGGATCCAAGATTATAAAATCCTGATATAGGGAAATCCTGTTGGATGAATACCGTGTTACAGGAGAGCTGTTGTCATTTTTCCACCGTGTTATCAGAGGGCCGAGGGCATTTTATTAATCAAGAAACTCGTAGCGTCGAATGGTCGAATCATGAGCGAAACGCCCCTTGCTTTTTTTTTTAAGCCACGAATTGCAATTTAATTCATAATCATTCCCTAATAAATTTCGAAAGCCTCGAACTGTCACCATATTGCCCACTGTCACTATCGCCTGGCTAAATTTCCAAAGTTTACACCCGCCGAATTGCAACAATTGACAATACCGATGTGCAGATGCAGCGGGGCGAATTGCAATTTAATTCATAATAATTCCCAACAAAATTTCGAAAGCCTCGAACAGTCACTATATTGCCCACTGTCACTATCGCTCTATACCTATCCAGATACCCTGTCTAAATTTCCAAAGTTTAGAACAGCCGAATTCCAACAATTGACAATACCGATGTGCAGATGCAGCGGGGCGAGGTACCCACTCAGTCGGCGCCGATAATTGCGACTTTGGCTGCCGTAGTTACTTGGCGGTTCCTTCGAAATCCCCGATTGTGAATCGGCCAACTTGTCCCAGGTGACGAGGTCCCCCCTGGGAGGGCAATTGCCGGGACTGTTGGAATCGGCGAGTCGTGAGAACCGAGCCATCAGGACCAGCAGCCTTAGGCGTCCTGCCCGAAGAGAGGAAGAGATTCCTCGGGACGTTCCCCGAGGTTTAAAACCCCTCTCCAAGGGGTCATCTCGGGTCGGCTCAGTCGGATATGTTGGCTGGTGCGTTTTTCTCGGCCGATCGATCCTCGGACCGCCAAGACGTTCCCGAAGAGGCTGATCAGCTGATTCCCTCCGGGCGAACCACGGTAGACCCTGCGACCTGAGGAGCCCTGGAAACGATGAGCCTGTCCAAGAAGTCCATCGGTGGATCCATCCACAGGATACGAGAGTTCGAGCTCGAGAAGGTAATCCTTATTCCCCGTATAAGAGTGTTGATTACGATATGCCGGGAAGAAAAGTTGATTCCAAAGTGCGGTTTTTACGGTACGCTTTATGGCGTAGGTCGTCGTTAGCCGGGGCTACTTCGCGGTAATGTCCAGGACTTTAAATTGACTCGTTCGGCAGGTATGACTAGTAGCATTCGTTGCCTAGGGATTACCGTGTGGTACTTTTAATGCGACGCTTGGAATTGCCTCGTAAAATTCAGGCACACTGCACTTAGTCCTGGTATTACCTTCGGAACTTCCGAGGTACCTTCTCTGGACGTGGTACATCTAGATTTGCGTTTACAAGATCGTATTTATCTTGGCCCGAAGTTCAATAGTCACAGTCATTGACTATTGTCATTCTAAGTCTTGTATTACCGACATCGTGTTATTGTTACATTATCATTATATTGTTACATTATCGTGTCGATAAATTTTTTCCCGTTGATTGCAGGACATCTTGTACGTCGATAATGGTTAGCTGCCGTCCTTATCAATAATTATGACCTCGTATTTATTTCTTTTACAATATTCAATACTCGGGTAATCTTTTAAGCGATGTTAAGTAATCTCGATTTAAGGATTGGAGATGAATTTCGTCGGGATTTATCGTGTCGATAAATTTTATCGCGTCCGTCGCAGGACATCTTGTACGTCGATAGTGATTAGCTGCCGTCCTTATCAATAATTATAACCTCGTATTTATTTCTTTTACGACATTCGATACTCGGTAATAATTTACACGCCGTTTAGTAAACGCGAATTGACGGTCGGAGATGAATTTTTTTTTTTCCGGAAAGGAAGCTGCTGGGGTTTGCGGAAATGGCTCGATTTTCCGGGAGGGGTTCTTTATGGATTCTGGAAGCTGGATGGGAATTCGGATTATCGGCCTCCAGACGTCATGGTATTCGTTCGGACCAGGAACTGTGGAGATGTAGACGGGACTCTGGTTCGACGGAAATAGGGACGATTCGTAACATTCGCTTTTACAGCAACTCGACGTCGGGTGGTCGTTCGGCTTTCTCGCCCTGGCAGCCAACCAGCGATGTCCTGAGGCCGTTTACACGGTATTTACGACGCCGTGGTTTATGACGACGTCGACGGCATGCCCGTCCGATGACGAAGGCTCCTTTTCCAAATTTGACCCTCCGAAAAGTTGAACGCTCAAAACGGATAATGCCGAAGTGCCGTGCCGAGTCTCGATAACTTGAGAGCTGTGTGCCAATTTGAGGCTCCACAAGGTCTCAAGAGTCTCGGAAAGACGTGTAAATCCTTAAACCCAAGATTTAAGAAGATTTATGAAATATAAGAATGAAGAAGTCCCTAACAGATTTCATTAAGGGTGTACAGGACGAGCGTCAGGACTAAAGATTTCTTGTTAACGTTTAATATTTCGTAGGCTCCTCCACAAGGTCTCAAGAGTCTCGAGAAGACGTGTAAATCCTTAAACCCAAGATTTAAGAAGATTTATGAAATATAAGAATGAAGAAGTCCCTAACAGATTTCATTAAGGGTGTACAGGACGAGCGTCAGGCCTAACGATTTCTTGTTAACGTTTAATATTTTATTAGGGTATATTGGAAATCTTCATTTCCACGGAGTAACATCTGCAATTTTGTCAAGATAAAAAAATGTTTCATAAAAGTATCCACACCAAGAGCAATTTTAAACATGCCTCTGCCGAGTGAGGAATCCCTTTCGGAATAATATGCAATTAAGATGCTGGAATTAAAATTCACTCGCGATATGATGATTTTCTCGTGCTTTGGGGTTTTCTTCTTTTCTTTTCACTTAACTGGGCTCACGCATCAATCCTTTTCGGATTGAATATTCGTTTTGCCAGAGGAACGGATGTGAGTCACCGTTCTCCTACGTCGAGGCCCGGTCTTTCTCGTTTCCTTCCATAAAAATTTGAAAAAGCCCGAGAGGCAGGAGGATATTTTATTTCTTTTCCGCAGCTGCCGGGAGACTTTGGGTTTCTAATCTGGGCCGGAAGAATCATTTTTTCCCTCGCCGGTCCCTCGATTAAGGAAATGGATGAAAGAACGAGCGCGAAAGCGCGGGCCGAGCTTGCACACTCATCGCGCGACCGCGTAGTCTGCTCGCAATAAAAATAGAAACCACCTTTAGAATGAACCACAGACGATCTTATACAGCACCCCGGCCTCTCATCAGTCTGATTGATCGTGATGCGATGAGACACTCCTAGATTTTCAGCTCCGAGTGATCGATAGAGCAACACTTTGCATCTAAAAATGAAAAGGCCTCCGAAATAATAACTCCACGTCGTCTCGATATTTCCTTATCCAAGGGGTTTGAAATTGAACATTAACATTAATCAGGGTAACCGATCGAGAAAAAATCTTCAGACATTTTTTCTAAGCCCACAATGTTGCAGAATAATTTTCTGTTTCATTGCGCATTAACTAGAAATAATGGCAGGCACGTAAAAGGAAATAACCAATTTGTTTAACAACCTTCAGACTGGATTTCAAGATTTCCTATTACGTCTGCCAATTTATTATTTTGCGAAATTCTTTAATTAGTCTGCCTATCGTAGTATGCATTGTCAATTTCCTGTCAACGCTAAAGCAAGGTATATCATTATTACTCTATTATTACTCCGGTCTGCCCTCTAAAAATAAAGAGTTGACGTCACTTATCATTTGCAAACATTACTCACGTATGTTTCGCGTATATATTTACGAAGTGCAATCAAAACGGGAGAATTTACGATTTGATCAGGATTTACTAGTTCTCCAAGAAATGCCGATAGTGGGATCGTTACTGACCATCGGACGGAATGATAAGAGATATCTTCCCGAATTGCAGGTAAACCTATCCGAGGAGTTCGACATCCTGCAGATCGTAGGGGAAGGATGGTTCGGGAAGATCCTGCTAGCGGAGCACCGAAGTACCCAGACGGAGATGGTCCTGAAAGCTCTCCCGAAAGCTTACACCGGCATCACGGATTTCTACCGAGAGTTCCATTACGGATTGCATCTATCGGCTCATCGGAACATCATCACGACCTACGATGTGGCCTTCGAGACAGCCGGGTTCTACGTCTTCAGCCAGGAGTACGCACCCCTCGGTGAGGATCGAGATCCCTCGTATTTCAGCAGTTATTTTCTTACTAAGCGATAAATATCACCGGCCTTGACTGTATAAAGTACTCCGAGTGCATTCGAATTGCATCGGAGCGCCACAAACCGGGGTCCTTCGATGCAGAAGACATAGTTAAATGCGTCGGAATTTAATTTACATAAACGCACGAGGGTAAAAGACACCACTTATCCTATGAATCCATTAACTTAATCCCAACATATATACTGTTTAATTCTCTAAATTTATAATCCATTCTTCTGCATCGAAGGGCTCCAAAATGCGCGTCTTAGTTAAGCGGGAATTTCTGAGAGACTCCCTCGGAATACATTTACGTCGTCTACGCGTATTTCCCGTCTTGGCTCGCCGGTAAGAAATTCCATTGCGCAATCCTAGACTCCTTGAACAAATGAATGAAGGAATGAAGCCCGGTTCGTAGTGGCAGGGATGTAAAATAAATGCAGGGATGCGGCTAGAGCGCAAAAGTCGAAACCCAGGGGGTAGGTCAGGGACGATCCACGTGGCGTATCGCAAAGAGGAGTCGCATTAGACATTACTCATCCTTCTAAACCGAGAATCCCTGAATTACAGGCGGTGAAATATGTCTATGAGCATTCATACCACTGGTTCTGGCCTTGTCTAGCCGTAGAGATCCCGTGGTAAACCTTAGAGCACCCCGCGATCGCCCGGAGACTCCAAAGAGACGAACCCCGGTGGAATATATCAGCAGGTCGTATCCATATCTCGTTTCTTGGCGCGATCTTAAAGGCGCTTTTGTGCGACCCTTGGTCCCGTCGAGACCGATGAATGGAGGCGAATTTAACGGCAGCGTATTCGTTATCACCGCCGGAGTTATCGCGTCTAAGCAGCCCCGGGTCGTTAAACCTCGTGGCGAAGTTCAGGAATAGTCTCGAGTGTCTCGCCTACTTTTCTTTACCCCTTTTTTAGGCGACCTTACCTCGAACATCACCGAGACCGGCTTGGGCGAACTGCACGCGAAAAGAGTTGCCAGACAGCTGGCTGCAGCTGTTCATCACATACACAGCCGAGAACTGGTACACCGAGATATCAAGCTCGACAATATCCTCGTATTCAGGAGCGACTTCTCGAGGATCAAGCTCTGCGACTTTGGCGAAACTCGACGTGTAAACACCGTTGTTAGGAGGCACAACGAGTGGCTCCCTTATTCCCCGCCGGAAGTCCTCCAGGTCGACACCGACGAGACTTACAAGTGAGTACGGAACCCTCAAAGAAATCGCATAGAATTTTCAGAGCACTCAATACGTAAAAAGACAAAAATAATTACACTCTGAACCAAAAGAAGAAAAAAAAAACAGCACTTTTGCTCCTACCGCAGTAATAATTCCATTATTATCCAAAATGTGACAAAATTTTGAAATTTTGGAGACACTCATGGGAATGGATTTTTACACGTATCCGATTGTTCCTAGGGGCGTGAATTTGAAATTACCGGAAAGTATGAAATTCATCTGTACATGTGATATTAATTTTTAGGGCTCAGACGTCTCACGACGTTTGGCAGTTTGGCATAGTGGTTTTCGTGTGCCTGACAGGATGTCTTCCCTGGCAAAAGGCAGCCATGGATGACCCGAGGTTCACCAGATATTTGACATGGCACACCGCGACCTTAAACATCGCCAAGAAGCCGAAACTCTTTCAGCTAATCAGTTCGCGAGCCCAAAGGTGATTAGTGATTACGATTAGGATGGTATAAGCTTTTCCTCCAGGGAATATCTGGCCGAGATAAAACATTGAAATGGGAGTAAGAAAGACTCCGGAGGGATTGGCGGTACATTTGTTATCGGGTATGGATTTATGCCGTTCAGGATTTACATTCCCCGCGAAAGGATTCAACCAAATAGTCGAATTGAATCGCAATCTAAGGAGCCCTTTGGCCTGCAAATGTTCGGCAAAGTCCGTCCTTTTCTTATCCCCACCGATGAGGTTCTATCCGGCGTCTCTTTACGCAGCCGAGGGATGAATAAAAAATCGAGGAGGATCGTCCTTAATTAAAACCACGTCAGACAGAGGACCCTCGGGAGAGGATCTCATCCGAGGAACAAAGTGAATCCATAGAATGTCATTTGGTTAATTGCGAAGTGCCCTGTCCCCCATGAATATACGGAAATCTGCGTACCCCGTAATACCGTGTACACCCTGTAGTAATCCTTTTGTCTTTGCCAGGATGTTTAAGAGACTGCTCGACCCTAAGGCGGATAAACGCCCAGCGAGTGTCCTGGAAGTGAACAAGTTTCAGGAAGATAGATGGCTGGCAAGGCTCGGAGCAGAGAAGGCATTAAATGGTGAGCGAGGGATTTCGTCAAAATTAAGGTTTGACCATGAAATAAAATAATTTTTTAACCAACGATCAGGCGGCGCAGATGAGAGGGATGAATTGTGTCCATCGATGTACAGCTTCCACAGTTCCGTAGAGGAGAAGAATCAACTTCTCTTCACCCTGACTCAATATGGGATCGAGACGACGGTGGATAGATCGAAGAAGAAGGACCGCATAAGGTCAGGGATTTCTATAATTTCCTAGATCCATGGATTTAATCTTTCTCTACCTCTTTCACCTCTTTAATCTCCTTACAATTAGTTAAACTGAGATTGTCCATCAGGGAATGGATACAGGCGAGTGCCATCGTGGAAGAGAACGAGGACGAGACTGACCCGGAGTTCGTGGAGGACTTCCACGAGGTGGACGAACACGAAGAGGAAGAATTGATCAACATGAAGGGCAGGCATTTCCCGGAGAGAAGACCATCGAGTACGGCGAGATCATCAAAACCATCAAACTCCCACAGCAGACATAGACGAAAGAGCGACGACCGGACCTCCAAGCCCCATCAGACGACCGCGACGAGGAGTATCCAGAGGAAGATTCCATTTGCTCCACAAGTGGCAACGGAGAGACAGACAGTAGCTCGGTTCACCAGTTTCCCAAACGGGGACCCAAGTCTAGCCCTGAAGACGAATGGAGCGAACCCCTTAGAGATTAAGAACACCTCGGTAGCGGATGCTGGTACCAAGTTCTGGCCTCACCAGCAAGTTACCAATGTCATGGTGGAGAACAGACGGGAGAAGGTGGAGCGGCAACCTCTTGGCATGAATGGTACCACTGGTACCAGTGGCATTACCGGTACCAGTTCTTCAGGGAACAGTGGTAGCACCTCCCAGGACGGTTCCACGACAGTCGCCAGGTTAAGTCCACCTACAGGTGTCCTGGTAGCGGTACCAGCTGTTCCCTTGACAGACATGAGGCAAAAGGAGTCCAGTTTAGAAAGGTCGGCTCCTAGAAGTCCCCAAGTCCCGGTCAGGAAACACAGGTCCCAGACTGCGCCTTTTCCTAATCCTGAGGGAACCAGGACAGAGGTTCCTCAAGCTCGAAGGACGCAATCGGCGGTTACATTGTCCACGATGAAACCTTCTAATGAGTCGAATGGGATTAAAGTTATGGTTAACACCACGGCGAATCCCTTGACCATGTCGGTCGCCTCTCAGCTGGTCATGCAGAGCTTTAATTCCCTGCAAGCCATGAATGTGGCTTTACCGGCGGTAACGCAGGATTATCAGGAGGATACACCTCCGGTTCAAGATGAACCAGCTATCCATGGGAAAGACATTTATGAACATTATGGGATCACAACGCGGCCTGATGTTATCAGATATGGGTCCACGGGGAGTGGAAGCAGATCCATTAGCAATTGATATCGGTTTATTGATACTTGATGGGCTTGCATGAAACTTCAACTATTCGTGTAGGTTTTCAATTTTTTCTTTGGCACGAGACCTCCACGGAGGAATGGTCAGGGTAATTACAGGTACCTTGCCGAGTGCCAATTATTTCTCGGCGCGAGTGCTGAGTGGTAATTATTTTCGAATATGATTGATTGATGGAAGTTATCTCGGGAGGTCCAGATGTACCTTTAGATCTTTTCTGGGCTAACGTGATGTAAAGAGCTTATGAAGATTTAAGTAAATGATTAAAGACGACTCGTAAATGATTATTGATCGTCTTTCCTGTACATTACTGGCGTATCGAGAATCGTGATAGGAGTAAATGTAATTAACACTCCATGATAAAAAAAAATTGTAAATTTGGCCGTATGTTTAATTAAGTGGAAATAATCTTAATGAAAGCAATCGTCTCCATGGAATCAATCAATACACGAATATAATGATTTTCTGTTCGGTAATAGGATATTGCTTGAATCAATTTCTTTTCTCTTGACGACAAAAATTTCACCGAGAGGGAAAGAAGTTTTACCTGTTATGTCTATTGAATATTAAAGTAGGATGACAAAAATTCGGGAGAGGAAATTCAGTTATTTGTGATATCAAAGAAAAAGATGATTAAACGGTGATATGAGATTTTAATGCAATTTCTCTCTTTCTGCCACAGAGAAAAAAAAAATACCCCCCAGCGATGATGGCGTAAACTGCGGACTTGTATAAATTTAGTTTACTTGACACGTACGTTTCTACTCAATTTGTATGTCTACTTCTGTAATAGGAATGTCAGAGAATGATATTAAGAAACGCTTAAGGTGTATTCCAAAATATTCTCCATCGTCACTTAGGTTTATTAAAATTACTGCGTGTTTCTATTTCCATTTGTATAATTACCGTGCAAATGTGCTGTAATAAAAAGTCCTGAAAAATGGAGAAAATACTAGCGTTGAAGTGCAAGTGCGGATAAACATCCTCAATCCCTCGAAAAGTCCCTTCAATAGATGCACGTCCAGTTTGGTCAGAACTAATCCTTCCATTTTCTTCGACCTGGTCTCTCCATTTCCAAAAAAGAAAAATTAAGTCCAAGATAAAGAAGAAAAATTAGAGCGAGCCCCTAAATTGCAGCCTAAGGGGACGGGAGAAAAACCACGGGGATTCCTTTGTCGCTCCCATTCTCAGATTCCTTTTTTTAGGGGAAAATCGTCAAGCAAGAAGTGCACTTAGAAAAAGCTCCGTCTCTCCTCGTCCGAAAATAAATTTGTTGTTCAAGGAGAAAGAAAGAGTGGAGAAGAAAAAGTGCGCATTCCTCGCCGAGGGAATGCAGGAAATCCGTGGGGATCCTTCTTTTAGGCGCTTCTTAAATGTCCCTCCACCTTTTCGCGGGAAATTCGAAATTCCTCCTCTCGGGTCAGCCAATTGGACGTCCATGTAACAACATGGCCGGCATTAATAGGAGGATAAAAAAGTAATCTTTCTCTTCAGAGGAACCGAGTCGAGGGTCAGGAATGACTCGTCTGGATTTCACGCAAACAAGCGATATGGAAATAATTATTCCGCCGGGCAGGAATTAATTAAGAGACTGACAAGTAGCCGTGTATACATTGCGGGAAGGCAATTACCCCGTCTTTGACTCGTGGAAACAGGGAGATAGTGGAGAGCATGTCTTCTAAAGATAGATTCGATGCATTCTCAGAGGAAGGAAATGTCAAGCCAAAATGCAAGATCGACTAAACATTGCGTATAACATTACACTCCGACTCTCTAGTCAGCGATATTAAATTTATTCTCCTAAAGCTTCTCGGCGGTAAAATTAAACACAATCTAACCATACATGTATTAATAAATCCCCTTATTGGATTTATATATACTTCTGTAACTTGATGGTGCAATGAGGAAACGACAGTCCTTTGAAAAATTAAAAAAAAAAAAATTAACACATTGAAATAAATCATTTCGGATTTAAATCCTTGACAAGATGTGAGTGATTTCTTTTTGTGGCCAATTTGTATGTGTTCTTGAAATTTAAGGGATAAGGAATTTTATGCGGTTGTCGAGACGTTTTGTGCAAGTTTAGTTTTTTCAGATCGGCAATTTTACGGCCGTTAAGAGACCAGGTATCATCAAGGTGTACCTTAAAAACAGATCCTAGGCCACACTTTGTGTGGGTTTAATGGGCACAGTGGGTGTGGCACCGGCTTCTGACTCGTGCCGATTAACCGTTACATTCTTGACTAGACAAATGGTCATTAAACATTCCGCTCCTGAAGTTTCACTGCCCGAGAGACCGAAAATATCTACCCTAATTTGTAAATGACGTTAATCACGCCACCCAAGGACCACCTAAGCTGAACTTACCGCGCTTAATTAAATTTCTACCCCACTTAACGCAAAAGTTAACATCCATTTTATCCACCGATCGCCGACAAAGTATTCCCAAAGACCATTAACCCTTTTGATACCAAATGAAGTGTCCGATAAAACATGTATTTTTATTATGTTAACAAGTTAAAAAAAAAATATCTCCATATGCATACAAATTATTGAAACTAAATATGTCATTGCGATTTTCAAGAAATATTTAAAATATCTTCTAAAAATGAAATATGCAAGAAATCTTAAAGAATTTGTCGCTTGAGATATTTAGAAAAGATTACAAAGAAATATTTAGAAATTATTCCATGCTACTAGGGAATATTTTATTATCACATGAACTCGATACAATTGTTATTTTATTATTTGAATTTGCAGTTCTCAATATTTTCCCAGTAGACTTGACGAAGGAAAATGAAATATCCTGGATAGAGAGTTGTAATTTTAATTCTATGTACAATTTCTTATCTTATCCATCACTGTCAATTATTTTATCGCTGGTAAGGGCGTGTACTTTTAATCCGGGGTCATGAAAGTCCGAACAAGGGAGGACGTTTCTTTCAGTTTTTGCATCCGGGACATGCAATTCGGGTGTACCGAACTGCCGATGAGAATTAATGAGGCGGCAATTGGTATTAATGATATTCCGGGACTTCCTTCTTAGGGCCCAACCTTCTGCATCCTCGTTATCTGTCGTCATGGCAGTTCATTTTCGGTACACCGAATCTAATCGAGATTACATGTTCGGAACCTGCCCCGAGGGGGAAAAAAAAAGAAAAAAAAAAACCTAAAAGGAATTATGACGAGGCGTCTTTTCAGGCCGAGATACGAGTAACGATATTAATAGTCGGCGTTAACTGCACCTCGTGTTCCAAAATAAGTGACAGTGCGCCGGCGGTAGTTACTTCAGGAATGTGGACAAGTTGATTCAACGTTAAATTTCCTGCCGACAGTACTCTTATAAAGTATCTTGCAGGAATATAAATGGCCTATGCAGAATGTCCCGTCTAATTACCCTAACATCTCGACGATAAGGAAAAACAGGACCGCCGGGAATAATTTGACGTATGATCCCCTTACACCCCTGTAATTATGAAAATAATTTCCTAATTGAAATTGACGTAAGGAACTCGAAGCAAACATTATACGTATCACTTGGTTGATTGAGCCCCTAGTTGGAATAATTCTCTTAATTACTCGTAGAAAATTCCAGGATTTAATTCCTTAATATTTCATATTTTACAAATTATTCATGAAATTGAAAGCCTGTGTCAATACATATATTTCGTATTAAGCTGATTCTACGATGTAAAAAAATGACATGACCGTGGAACCATTCTGATTAATCGTCGTTATCAGCCGACATGGTCCTTATCCGTGAACGCAACAGTTCGGAAACGACTCCCGCCGGGGGTAATTAATAATATCTAGCTTCTTCTTACCGTGATAACAGACGGTGTGTTGGTATGTCATGACGAAAGAAAAGAGAGAAAGATTTATTTTCTCCCCGGCGTTATTAATAACCCCAGCAACAGCGCGACAGTAATAGCATATCTTATTGGACCCCTTTTGTTCCCATTTCCGGTTAATAGGTTTCCTATTAATAATTGTCAGTGTAAAAGCAAACAACCCTTTGAAAATGTTTCACCGACAAATGTTACCATTTTCCCGAAATATATAAATTACAACCCTTTCGTACATTAAGCCCATTTTTAGGTGTTTACATTTTCCGAAGCATGTAAAATGTTTAATAACGACCATTAATAATATTTCCGCGCGCACTGATAATTTCGCCTGCCTCCAATTGGTAAATCTAACGGGTAAATACCGGAATAAGGTACTATAAATTAAACGGCGCAGAATACACGAGTCATGAACAAATATCTCACGCATTGGTCAGCGCGGTTATCTGCAATCCGCGTCCGAGTGGGAACACGAGTGATAGTGGTATCGATGTGTCTTGTAAAGTACTCGGTACCAAGTATCGATGTGTCTGGTAAAGTACTCGGTACCTAGTATCGATGTGTCTGGCAAAGTACTGGGTACCAAGTATCGATGTGCCTGGTAAAGTACTCGGTACCAGGTACCGATGTGCCCAGCAAACTACTCGGTACCAGGTACCGATGTGTCCAGCAAAGTACTCGGTACCAGGTACCGATGTGTCCAGCAAAGTACTCGGTACCAGGTACCGATGTGCCCAGCAAAGTACTCGGTACCAGGTACCGATGTGCCCAGCAAAGTACTCGGTACCAGGTACCGATGTGCCCAGAAAACTACTCGGTACCAGGTACCGATGTGCTCAGCAAAGTACTCGGTACCGAGGGCGATACCGGAGTGCCGATACCCCAGCGAATCACCCCCTCGGACCCGGACGACGCCTCGACGAAGTGTGCGTTCATCCGATAACGGGCGAGCTCGCGGGACCATCCGGATGACTAATGACAGAAATTTTGCGGAGGTGTCTCGTCCATCCGTCGACGCGTACCGCCGGCAAAAGGGAAAGAGAGGGACCGGGAGAGATACAGGAGATGCTCGCCTCGTGCAGATGATTTATGGACCTCCTCCTCTAGAAGGCGAGGATACGGTACCCATGGACCGGGCCGGGGTGGTGAGGACCGACCGGGACGTGTTCGGGACCAACGCCCGATTATTAATGAGACCTCGCGACGCGTCCTTTGGGAATATTTGAAAAAACTTTGACGTCCCCTCGTGCCAAACAGGGGGAAGGAATAACACCAGGGTGGTTTTATCGCGATGGCGAAAGTTCACCAAGATGATTTTCCAAAAGTGATGTAAAACTGAAATGCGAGTTCAACCATCGATAATCACCGTCCGGACCCAACAAGGCAAGTTTTACATCACGAGTTTTGCATCACCGATTTTGCAAGGAACTATAAAAAAATCCTGAACTCCCTTGACCCCTTTTCGTTCTCGCCCCGCCGTCTGCGGTCCATTGTCAGTAAAGGCGATAATTCCTGTCCTCCAATATCCCCGTCGCCCATCTTGCCAAAGCCCCTCCCACGATAAGCAGTTTCCCGATTACCCCGACACCGGGATTACTTTATGACCCCCCGGATTACTTGCCAACAAGTGCGGCGAACAAACCGCGTCGAATCGACTTGCACCTCGTCGAGGGCGCGGGTCCGTAAATAATCGTCGAGTGCTCCGAACGTGGGATTCCGTACGCGGTATTAATTCCGCGCAGAAGCCCGCAATTGAATTAGTTCCGTGGCGACGCGCGTTATTCAAATCTTGCACGCGGAATACGCGTACTACACGCACCTGGGGATACTCGCAAGGGGTTGGGTTTCAGGTGCGGAGAGACGCGGGGCGTCGCATGCAGATACGCGTCGGTTTACCCGTTGATAACGGATGCGCCTTCGAAAGTAGGCTCCAACCTGTCCCCGGAGCCGCCCTCTTGGTGGCTCTTCAGCCTCCCCGGCCGACCCCCCGCGGAGCGTCGCTAAAACGTATGCGGACATTAGCATTTAGCAATTAGTGCGAGGAACCGACTGCGAGCACTTTCCTCTCTCTTTCTCTTTCCTCCCTTCCTTCGGGCAACTTTCGGAA